GCCAGCATGAGCTGTGAGAAGCTGTGCGAATCAGGAAGCCCTCCTTGGCTCAATGAGTGTATTTCCTACAATGAAGCAATTCCGCTGGCCGTTGTGTCTCCTTTTGGGGATTATCCAAACCGGCAGCAGCGCGAAGACCTCCTCTTGGCGCAAGACGCCTCCGGCCGATGCAACGTCCTTGCTGCGACAGAATCAGAATGGCACGCAGCGCCTATTCACGATCAGGCATCAGCAGACCTGCGTCGGCACATCCTACACCAAGAACCCGGAAACCAACTGCGACGGCTGGAGTGGCTTGACAGAGGAAGAGTGTGAAATGAAGTGTGCTCAGAACGAGCAGGCGCCGAACTGTCCTCAGGAGTCCTGCCACGCAGCGGTCTTCACCCCTGTTAACGGCGGGTGCAACTTGTACAAAACATGTGAGCAGGTGGAGCCTTCGATCGGCTCAGTCACACTGGTCGACCAAGAGATGTTGAGAGCGGAGCAGGAGATGGAAGAGCAAATGGCAGCAGAGCACGAGGAGCCCGGCAGGTTGCATGAACTCATGACAGCCATGCCGATCGTGCTACTCAACTTGACGAAATTCTCGGGCATCTTGCATGCAGACGTGCCGAGCAGAGAGATTGCTTTCAGGGCCGGGAACATCACTGCTGACCTCGGGATGCTTTATGACAAGGTTCAAGGCTTTCTCCTCGCCCTGCACGAGCAAATGAACCCGGAAGATGCAGCGAAGTACTGCCCCTTCGAGACCGAGCACGTGATTCCAGCATGCATTGTCATCGCGACCTGCCTCATTCAAAAGGTTGTGCCAACCGAAATCTCGATGGACGCCTTTGCATCCCTCATGGAGCAGGTGCGGCGCTTCGAGGATATTACGTGGCCTCTGCTCAAGACAGCCTTGATTGGCGAGCACGAGCCCAATGTGCAAACGGATTCGTACGTGCCCGAGGCATATAAGTGTGATGACACTCAAGAAGCGGATCCGCACTCGCTTGTCAGTCCAGCCTTTGTACAAATCGAGGCAAAAGCCGCAGAGGGCACAGAGCATTCAGAGACCCTGGCGATGTCATCGGCCATGCGACACGCCTCCGCTCACACACACCGCATTCTGGATGCGCATCTTATGAATTCCTCAATGCAGACGACAGCCATGCAGTTGGAGAAGCTGTGGCATCCGATCTGCAAGAAGCTTCCTTGTGATCCGTCCAACATGTACGACGTTTTCCTTGCTTGGCACAAGCAGAGCATGGCCCTGTGCCAGACATCCGCCGTCGGCCATCTTCGCCTGGAGATTCGTCAGCGTGTGAGGCTAGACATGCGGCTGCAGCGCTTTGTTTCCGAGCACTACTTCGAGCACGTCTCCTTCTTCAACGAAAAAGGGGTGCTGCACAGCTCGCGGGAGTCTGTGGTGAACTACGGCAAGAGAGGACGCGAGGCTGTCATGGGCCTGGTGATCCCATACATGCAGAAGCTTGCAGACACCGACGGAGAGAGAGCTGTGCGGTTGGTGGATCATGTCGAGCTCATCAAGTTTGCACGGGACATGGAGAAGGAGAAGGAGGGAAACCTGAAGATCAGGCGTGCATCGCAGTATGCAATCGGGCAGAACGAGGAAACCGAGGACCTTGAGGAAGACGTGGACGAAGATGCGACGGAGGAAGACGCTGAAGACGAGGTGAAGGGCCGCCCTGGGCCCACCGCGGAGGATGTGTCCCTTGTGTCCGAGGGCGTGAACCTGACAGACGGCTTTGCCACTTCCCACTGGTGCACGAGGAACACGATCGTGTTCTGGAACGACAAGCACCAGCACTACTTTCGCATGTCCAATTGGCGAATCGAGCGAGGACACAAGGGATGGCTGGAGAGCATCCCCTACGGGTGGACATGGGAGCGCTTCACCTGCGTTGATCTAGGGGGTGGCAACTTCGCGTTTCACAACACCTTCCACAACCGCTTCATGCGCATGAACGGGGATGGCTGGATGGATCGAAGCGACCCCTGCGACAGGAACAAGTTGCCTGACCACTGGGCTTGGGAGCGGTTCAAAATGAAGGACATGGGCAGTGGACATTGGGCCTTGTTCAGCACGGCACACAACAAGTTCGTGAAGATGGACAAGGGCAAAGACGGTATCGTTGCCAGCGGCTGGAGGAAAGGTGCCTGGGATATTCCATCCAGCTGGAATTACGAGAAGTTCTATATTCAGAAGGCATCAAGAGAGATTTCTTCACCGAAGGCCTTTTGGTTTGTGGACAGAACGGTGGCCATATGGAATCACAAGCACCAGCGCTACGTTCGAATGAGGAAAGGCAAGATCGAGAAGGGTGGCGAGGGTTGGAGAGATCCATTTCCAAATTGGGGCTACGAGCGGTTCACGCCACTGAGATTTTTGTCGGTTTGTCCTTTTGTGCGCACCGCATGTCTGTGTTAAGGAAGCGATAACATGTGTCTGAGCCAATGATCTAGTGTCAGAGCCCAGGCCAGTGATGGCCGGCCATGGAGAAGTGGCCTTCTACAACGCCGAGAACCGCCGCTTCATCCGCATGAACGATGACGGCTATTTGGACGACAGTGACTGGGGCTGATTGGAAGCAGCCTTTTTTCAGTGCTGTGTTCCGTCATTCCGGTACTGTCTCATCCCATGTTCCTCCAACGTAAGCCTTCGCATCATCCTTAGGTGACAAGATGGACCAGTGGCAACTGCACGACGGGATGACCTGGGAGCGGTTCAAGGTCGTGGACATGGGCGAGGGGCACATTGCTTTGTACAGCTCGGCTCACAAGAGGTTCTGGAAGATGAATGGCGGGGAGAATAACCTTGTGACCAGCAATAAAATGGACTATTGGAAAGTGAACACAAATTGGGGTAACGAAAAATTCTTCCTTGTGGAAGTCGGCGAGAAGAAGAACTGCAACTTTTGGTGCAGGCTCCGGCGCGGCATCGAGAAGGTAGTGAAAGCCGTGGCAGACTTTGTGGTAAAGCTCCTCTCATGCTTCGGACAGTGGGTGTTCACGGAATCCGTTGGTTATAGCAGATCCATCAGCACACATGCCGCCGTGAACTTTGGCGTGTCCGCTGGCATTTCAACCCCCAGCATCAAGTCGATAATTCAGCAAGCGACGTCTCCTGGCACGTCAGTTTCCTTGTGGGCATCCCTGGGAGCAGGTGCCACAGCCGAGTGGCTTTGGACGGGTCTGGGCGTGGCTCTCTACATGAGCTGCGGTGGTTCGATGGACGACAGCTCTGGGGGTTGCTACGTTGGCATCTCCGTCGGAGCCATCTTTTCGGCTTGGGCAAAGGCCTGGGGAGAGCCTAGGTGCGCATTCGGGCCAACGCTCTTCGGTGCCTTCCAGTGTGCGAGATCAGTCGGCGGCACCTTCCTCCTCATTTGCTGCAGCTACAGCATCTTGACTGGTGAGAACAGCTGCCGCTGAGGAAGGACGCAGACGGAGTTGCCGCAGCGGTTCCTGTAGACATAGTGCACCGCATCTCGACATCTTCTGTCGACGGAAAAAATCCACCGTGCTTTTCGCTGTTGTAGCTGAGTAGAGTCCCGTTTAGGGGGGATCTCAGGCCTGGGTATCGGTTTGCCGTGCTTTGAATTGGTAGGCATCCAGCTCTGCTGACATCCGACGATGAGCTCTGCTGCCGTCCATCCGGTCACCCCCGAAAAATTCAGACCACTCTCAAACTTCTTTGTCAGGAATCCGGAGACAGCTGCCGCTGAGCAGCTGGACGATTTGCAGCTCACGTGAAAAACGACGGCTTGTGTTGAGATCTTCGTGTGACGTATGATTGAATTGTTTGATGCCCTGCTTACAACCATGTGAGACATGTTAACATGTCTTCGAGCCTTTCACTGCAAGTAGATAAGCGTTCGTGCTACGAATGACGAAGACGAAGTTGTTCAGCGACAACGCTTGCGCCGAAGGCCTGGGTTCGGCAGCATGATCGGTGTCCAGGTGTGTGTGTGTGGGGATGCAACTCGAACCCTGCGTCCCAGCCCGGCCTCTCGTTGCGATCCATCGTCCGAAAGCTTGACTGAATGCACACAGTTAAGGTGGCTTCACCCTTGCCGTGACGAGTCCTTCACAGCTCCGCTTTGCAAATTCACAGGTATAAGTGCAGGAGGGGTTTTGCATCAGCACCGAATCTGTTTCTGCTGTTTCTGGGATGTCGCCGAGTGATTGGAACTCTGAGTTTTCCTGCCGGTTTGCCAGAAGCTATATCGGCTCGCTCGAGCAGTCGCCCGAAAAGGGGCGGCTTGTATGTAAATCATGTGGCGGGAGTTGTTCACCGCCTGAGTTTCAACCAATGAAGCTATACATTCTGGAGCTGCTCAGCCTCAGCTTGTCGCCTTTCTGCATCTAGCAGGGCGATCTCGTCGTGGTTCTGGGAGCCTCCCAAAGTTTTTTTGAATATAGTAGATCTGCATTCCGGTCACTTTGCTGATACAGTGATGAGGGACCATGTGCGAGAAAGATTTAGCCATGCCAGTACAGAGGTCCCGCGAGCAAAGGCTTGCTTGTATTTGTGGCCCTGGCTCTCAGAATTCCGGTTCCCTTTCGGAGCGCCTTGGGCGCCCAAAGCTGGATGAGCATGAACCCAGCCAAATGCAGTGCGAAACAGGCATTGGCAATCACAACATTTGGAGACAACGCCGCGACAACGCCAACAAGAATCGAAAAGGAATTTTCATCTCCCTTCTTAGCAACGCGATTTACTCTTGTGGAGGTGGTTTCATGCTACTTCATCCTGCCGAAGCAGCCAAGGTTCTTGTCAAAGACTGCCGTGGCCGCCAAGGTGGTTCGCCCAGACACCTAGTCAGCTCCCCTGACACCTAATGCAGACGAGTGGCCCCGAGCCCTAGGCCCAGGCGCAAGCCTGATCCGAGCCAATCTTTGGCTCGTTGCCTTGCGATTTGGAGGTGCGTGCAAGCCCTCCTGACGATGCCAACGAGTCAAGCTCGTACAACAACCCCAGACGGCTCTTTGCGACCATGTCAGCACCTCTACTGAAAGCTGGCATTCTGGAGGTGTTCTTCCGTCTACTCAGAGAACTTGGTATAGTTTGGGGTACAACCTCTTGATGCCGGACTCTACCTGTACTCTAACAGCGACTGCTTTACAATCGAAGTCGTTCCTTTGGCAGTCCCCAATCTCGATTCGACCACCGTCCATGGCTCAGCAGACTCCATGGCCAGGTCTCAACTTGGATTCAGATTCACCCTTTGCTGGGTTTTCTGGAACCGGTCAAGCCAAGGACGCTGCCTGCATAGGCCGGCCTTTCACGGAATATCCAGACAAAGGCTGCAATGGATGGAAAGATGTCACGCAGGCGGAGTGTCAGCAGCAACTTGGCTCTTCGTCGTCTTCTTCCAGCTGATTGCCTTCATTAGGGTTGTTTCTGGTCTGCAGGTTGTGCATGTGTCCAGGAAGTGTGCTGACCATTGGGCCCCAGACAAATGTGTCTCGGAGAACTGCCACGCTGCGGCATCCCGGCTCATCGCCCCGAAACCTTAAAGACCACGAATCGCGATCAGGGTGCACCCGCACACGTTCATTTGTAGACGCCCAGCGCCGCCTAGGCTGCAGCGGTAAGTTGTTGTGCTTTGCTCAGGTCTACTACCCTGCAAGCGGTCTCTGCCATCTCTACCAGGCCGTCGAGTGCGTGGACCTGATCCACACGCAGGCGGCGCTGAGGGTGCGTGAGTGACCTGGGCACCCATGCGCTATCGCCTCTCAAAGTCTATTACAACAGTGGCAAATAGCCGCTTAACTATAGAATTTGGATGAATTTGGAGACGGGAAGCGTTGAGCTTCGTTCTTCTCTTCAGGGTGGGATCACCATGCTGGACGAGTTCGAGAGCCTCGGCTTACATCGCGCCTCACGCCGGCAAGCCGTTCATGCTCGTTCCGTTCTCGAAGGATCCAGAAGTATCGGAAGGATGAAGAGGAGGAGTCCGCAGTTGAAGAGGCCGGGCCGGGCCAGATTAGAAGGTACACGCCGGGCATGCTAAGACCAAGGCAAGAGCCAATCAAGCATTCTTCGTTCAGGGAGTTATGGCTAAGTTGCCTTAATTGATCCTCTCTCCTACATGCCGGTGTAGGTCAAGTTCAGATTCAACAACGGACCGACAAGAGTTTGCATGAAGACTGGTGAAATAGGGGATAGCAAGAGGCATTCCCGAAGAGACGAGTTGTTGCAGTCCTGCAGGCGGAAGATGCAGCAGAGCGAGCCCATCCCAACCCGTGGAAGGAGATGGGCACTGCGCTGCCCGCCGTGCCTGCAGCAGCAATCTGTGTGCAGTACATATCAGAATTAAGTCACTAGGGTTGGCAAGCTCCTTGCGTTTCGAGGTTATGGTGAACCTCTCGAACTACTCGGGCTGTGTCAGTGACAAGAACCGGCTGGCGAACATCAGCCACAAGTTCGGCGAGGCCAGTGGCGTATATCTGAAGTCTGTCGGCAAGATCCGGAACGACCTCCTTCAGCTTCAAAAAGCCTGCACAAGCCAGTGCGGCCGACGAGTTCGGCATCGCAGCACCCCGATTCGGAAGCGAGATGTCACTAATTGGACTAAGCATTGGTGCAACCGAAACGGGACCGATCCCCCAGCTATTGCCGCTCTTGACCCCCCGAAGTCTAACGAACCCGCTTGCTGTGGTGAGCCGAAATCCTGCCCGCATGAGGTCCTTGGCCGAGGACTCCCCACAAGCCGTGCCGGCCGATGCCCTTTCCCAAAAGTTCGCCAACAATCCAAACCTCGTCCATGGAGTAGGATGAGTAGGAGTCGCGTGCTTTCAATCTCAAGTTTGAGACATGCTTCGCCGCAGATCGATTCAGATCTGGAGATGCTGTATGACAAAGTGAAGCTTGGATGCAGCAGAATGCAACATCCCGTTTCAGCATCTCCCGATGTCAGTGCTCTGTCAGCCTCGCTCCAAGCCTTCAGCGCCAGCACACCTATCAGTGCTCGCCCTAAGGAAGGGGTTCTACTCAGTGTTGCACGAGCGGATGAATGCCTCGGACGGCTTGAAGTTTTGCCCTTTCCGGTCGGAGAGTTTATGCCGCATTTGAGTCCCACAAACCCCGTGCCAAACCCCTAGCCGCCCTAGCCTGGAAGAAGGCCCCAGGGCAGCACTTCTCGGAGCCGAGGCGCTCGATCAAACGCTGCGTCTCCATCGCGATGTGCCTTCTGCAGTCTGCTGTTGGTACAGAAGCTCACCTGTTACTTCAGCTACGTGCTCGGGTCTGTGCACAAGTTGTCAAACCTTGTCAGAGCCATCGAGTCGCCGAGGACATTCCCATGACAGCATTTACGGCCATGATGGAGCAAGTTACCCGCTTCGACGACATCACTTGGCCGCAGCTCATGGCTCACTTGGGCCGAGAAGACCCGACTCACACGAAGGCACGGGCACGACGGGCACGTAACGACGTCACCATGCGCAAATTCACAACCTGCCAGGTCGGTGAGGCCGACATGCCGCCAGAGTATCAGTGTGATGATGTGGCAGCATGGTTGAAGTCTGGCTGGCCTGCAGCATGTCGTGTTGTCAAATCTGTTAGTGAGCTTGAGATCGCCAGCGAAGGAGGTGGTGAATCCGGCAGCAAACGTTCGCAAGGCGTCAGAGCTGCAGATGGAGTCACACCATGCACAAGGGTCTTCGACCGAAACGATCTTGGCGATGTCTGCCGCTTTTCGACAAGCTGCAGCTGACACACATCGCATCCTGGATGCACATGGAGCAAATACCTCCATGAAGCTCACGGCACATTTCCTGCAACGCACCTGGCACCCGATATGCCAACAGTTGGGCTGCGATGCGTCGAACATGCACGATGTCTTTGTGGCATCGCACAAGCAGACCATGGCGCTCTTGCAGACCAATGCGGTGGCACACGTGCGTCATGAAATCCGGCATCGTGTCAAGATGGACCTGCGAGTGCAGCGCTTCATTGCCGAGCATGGGCATCGAGGCGTCTCTGCTTCCAGCACAGCCCCAGCAGAGTAGGAAAGTTGGAGCGTCATGGCTTCGCGACTTCGCGAGGCGAGCTCTCCTTCTACCGACCGGCGCTCACTTCCTCGGAGGCTGCCGCACGCGTCTACGGAGAGAAGGGCCGAGATGGTGTGCTTGGTGTGACTCGGTTCCGAAGGGTTTCGCGATGTTTCGAGGCCGAGAGCCTTAACAAGGAGTTTATGCCGGTCTATCCAGTTTTTGCCTTGAAACAGACTCAAGCCTTCGACCATCTCGGTATTTCTCGGTATGCTGGGTGTCGTTCGGGGCCGTGAGCGATGAAGCCCTTCGCAAGCAAAGGTGGTTCTGCCGACAGTGGAGGGCCTTGCCCAGCATGACGAGAGCCGAGTCCTGCGGCTTTTTGACATGGTGGCTCTCAGCATTATTGTGGTGTTTTGCTCGGCTATAGTTTACTTGGGTTCGTTTGAACCCTGCCACCTGCATGACACTGCGCAGGATACCTCATCAGATCGTTTGACTGACTGCATTTCAGGTAGAGTTCGAGAAGTTCCGTCGGCAGCTGGAGCTTGAGGAGGTTTCAGCAGTATAGGGATTAGGGCGTAGTATCGCACCTTGATACACGACGGTGGGGAGCTGGTGAGACCTTGAGAAGGCGATGGATCCGGAGGAGGAGGAGGACCTTCGTAGTGAAAGCATGGACAATGTGGCGGCGGCTCTTGGCTCGCTTGAAGACGACGAGGCCCGGAGCCGCGAACTTCCGATGCTTTCTCCGCTAGAACTGACTGCAGCATGTGCAAAAAAACCAAAACGGCACTTGTTTCCCCAAGGAATGTGCACTGTTTTCTGGACATATCAGCATCTGGCATATTGGACTGTCAAGACTCGTGCTTGCGCATGAATGTGTCGTGTAACCTTACCAACCCTGTCGTGCAGTGTAGCCTTGCTTTGCCTTCTGCGACAGGATTGCAGTCTGTTACAGCATGTTCTTTAGAATTGGTGACACAGCGTGAATGCTTCCATGTTGTGCATGGTGTGCTGTGGCTTGCAAGATGCTTTGCACGGCATTTCGGAGTAGCCAATCGGGCAGGGGCAGAGATCTTGGGTTAGTTAAGGCACATAGCACAAGGTGTGGTGGAGGTGATTTTGACAGAATCTGCGGAACAAAACTGGCGCCAGGAGCACGATTACAGTACCATAAGGAACCGTCATCGCCCCTTCCCCATTCCTTGATACGCCATCCTGCTTTGGTCTCCCAGCAGGAGCAAGAGCACCACGCGGAGCAGGAGGACGAGGACGAGGAGGACGAGGACGAGGCAGGGCTGAAGCCGCCGCCGAAGCGTGCTCCGTTCTGCAAACCAGGAGCGAGAACTCCATGAGCATGAAGAGGCCTCCGAAGAGGACGAGGAAGGCCAGGCACATGGCTAACGTAAGTGTAACTCGGTTTCTGCGCTTGGGGAGCTTCGCAACGGAGAGCTTTCAACCCCATCATTCCACGCCCAAGCTCTCAGAGTCTGGCACCCCAGAAGGTGAGAAGATGCTTGCCACGCAGGCCACGCAGCACACCAAGGTGGACGGGTGCTCTGCCCGAGTGTGAACTGAGCAGCCCCGACCTTTGAGGACATCGGACCTTCGGAGATGGCATTAATGGAGACCTCCGGTGAGCTTGGACTTGCTGAGGCGGAACCGTGCTTCCAAAAAACTGGCATGAGCTTGGGTTCTTTCGGTTCTTGCCCGGTGCCTTCTTACTGTCAGCCAGGATGAGCAGGGCGACAAGAGCTGGAGACGCAGACGCCGCAGACGCCGACGCCGCAGACGCCGCAGAAGGCCAAGCAACCCACAGCAACCCTTTCGCTCCCAACCCGCTTAAGCGCAATGTACGTGCGAGTTCGTCATGTCGCTTCTTTCGTGGATGACTGCTGCTTCTTCTTTGCCGGATATCAGTTGGTCCGTCTGCACGTTCGTCAGCCTATCTGTAATTAGGAGTTATCATGTGACCGGTATGGTGTGGAATAATTACTCGGGAAACGTAGACACTTAGAAGGATTTGAATGCATGTTGAGGGTGGTTCCGCCAGTAGAGCCATGGCAAGCTGTGGCCTTAGCCGTAGCCTGGATCATCCTCGCTTCTTGCATCCCGAGATTTGTCGCGAGCCGCATGCTAGCGACAAGCAACTCGCAGCCCCAGCGAGTGTCCACAGGCGTTGGTTCCGACGACGCAGACGTCGCTGGTTCAGAAAGATCTTCAAAGCGGTGGCTTGCATTGGTTGATTTCCACAACGATGAAGAATCTCACGAACATCTCAAGGGGGTCTTGTTAGGACGCCATGACTCATGACTTATTGCTTTCCTCGAAAAGGTCGTGCAGGCCATCGTGAAGTGGGCCAAGAAGGTCTTCGAGTGCTTCGGCCAGTACTCCAAATGGGATGCGGTAGCTTGGATGCAAAGGACGTGTGAGGCGCCAAGTCTGGCAAAGTCCTGGCTTTGATTTTGGGCGTTTCGACTTCCAGGGCTGGGTGTGTTGGTTGGAGCTGGTGGCCAACCCTTCCGGAAATGAAGAGGACTAGGACTCTGGTGATGTTGATGAACGCCCCTGCAAGCACATTCAATCCTACATAAGCCGAGACAGCATCGGTGTGTAATCACACGCCATGACTTGCAGGCCGTCAAGAAGCTGTATCATCTAAGCAGACTGCTTGTGCCGCGGGAGGGGAATGGAGGTCAAGTGGGTGGGGGATGCAGGGGTGAGGGGGATCGGGCAACTGCCTCACCCCAACCCAAGATAAGAAACGGACGACTCGCGTCACCACAACACCACCATCATCCGCAGCATCATCATCAGCATCACTTCCACCGCGGCGAGAGAGATCTCATCCAGCGAGCGCCTACAGTATGATACATACCGGCCGATGTGTTACGGCATGGCACGGATGCCATTTGGATGGCTTAATAGCTTGAAATAAGCTGATGTCCCATGCGCTGTACAATTGGGAGCTTTCAGGCAAAAGGGTGCTTAAACACCAGGAGAGACAGTTCAGTTCTGTCGTCGGAAGTAGCGGCTCAGACCGCTCTGTACGGTTTTACCGCTTTGGTTCGACGCGAGATATTCTGGAGATGCAAATCCATGATCATTGGTAGCGGAGCCGTTGGCAGACTGAGATGATGTCCTGCCATTGTCATCCTCCAGCTTGACTATCTCTGATGAACCGGAACATGGCTGAGCTTCGTTCGGAGCTCGATATGGCAATTCTGAATTGCAGTCTGGTCTTGTCGCGAAAGTAGCCGGAGCCGCGACACAAGCATTGCCATCACATGACGCCGTAAAAGCTACATTACCGGATGAGCATCTGCGACGTGTGAGGTTTGCTGGACCTTTGCAAGAGCAAGAATGTACATGTCTCGACTGGCTTGGCTGCGCGCTGCAGCATCAGCACATCGGACTTTTTTATGATCATCATGGATGTCAAAGCCCCTTCACTGACGATCAAAACGGTGTAGTGTCCTGAGGATGGCAGAGAGCCATGATGTCGGATTTAGGCGACAACCTGGTAAGGATGCGAGGGACCTGGCCTACCAGGGCTGGGGAAGCATCGTGGCAGTGCGCAGGATCATGGCTTACAACACACCATGCAGCGAACCTTCAGTGAAAAGCGTGCTTACCGCCGTGCCAGGAATCGAGCTCTGCAGTCGCTGGAAGGCGGCACCACTTACAAAGGACGGTGGTGCACCAGAGCTGCCCTGCAAGCCTTTAAAGGTTGCCCCAATAGTTGCCACCCACACCCTAAGGTAGTCTCGCAGCAAAGGATCACTAGACCCTCACGACAAGCAAGAATCAGATGTCTAAGCTGGAACACTAGTGGGCTCTCGTCAGCTCTCTTTCAAGAATTCACTGCTTGGCTCGACATCGAAAACTGTTGTGATATCGTCGTTCTTCAAGAGACACACTGGGACCGCTGCTCAGACTTCTATAGTGGGAATTGGGCTTGTTTACATTCCTCAGGACACCATACCGGCGTTTCCTATGATAAGCATGGTGGTATTCTGATCATGGCTAACAAAAAAGTGTTCGCTAATATGGCATTGCAGGAAGTGTACCCTGCACACTTCAGAGCAACACATGTCAAAACTGGTCTCATCTGTGACATTGTTGGGGTCTACCAACATGTGTGGCGCACACAGCTTACTACGGAACAAAACCACATTTACAGGAATGACATATGGGATAGGCTAAGCAAACTTCTGCTCTCCTTGCCGGTACGCAACCCGCTTGTCCTTGCAGGAGACTACAACTCAGTGCTGCTTCGGCAATCGCCACATACCGGCCCTGCTGCCACAGCCAAGGCTGCAGGCGTGGCTGCTGACAAAGCCTTTGTCAGGCTTCTTCGGGACCATAATCTTTGCACCTTGAACACTTGGGTTGCTCGACCTCAGCACACTTTTGAATCACATCAGGGCAAATCACAGATCGATTTCATAATTGCCGGACTTCGGGACAGCCGAGGTTCTGCTCGACAAGCCAAACCCTTGCACACGTGGCGTGAACGGGGTCACTGGCCCTTGCTTGCAAGCCTGCCAATGCAGCCTCTCACACCCAGCCTTTGTATGATAAGAAATCGCCAGCAACAGCCCGGAGGCGGTTGCCCTGCGGCTGACCGTGGGGCAAAAACTGCGTGGCATCCAGGCCACCGATTTGTTAGAGGTTCGGCGTCGGGTCACTGAGATCCTGCTGCACAGTACTAGACAACATTTTCCCCCGGCATCACGCCCTGACACACGCATCAGTGCACAAGGCGAGTTTCGGGCATCTGCACGCCATACATGGCAGCTCTACAAAGAGCTTAAGGCTCCTAGGGTTGCTGTTGGGCTACGGGTTTGGAAGAAGTGGTTTGCCTATGCCAGATTAAGGCGAGCATCCGCTGCCCTGCGGGCACAGAGCCAACAGCTTAAACGTGCAGCCTTACTCGCCAAACTTGCCATGAAGCAGCAGAACACGCTGCCTCCACAGGCAACCAGCGAGACCTACATCAGATTGCCCGAAGCCTGGCTTCGCCCAGTTTCCAAATTGTGTCCCGCATGCGCAACTTAGCGGGCGCCCTGAAGAGCAAGGCTGATGAACTGCACCGGGTCCTCACATATGCAAAGGACATCTTTGCACAACACACTGACTTTTCACAGATACCGTCATTGGGCCAGGATCTTTTCTTTTCTGATACCATGGTGCAAGCAGAGCTCAGAAGATTTGGGGCCGCGAAGGCTGTCCCTGCCACTGCTGCTCCAGCAGCCGTATGGAAGCTTTGTTTCCACAGCCTTGGGCAGGTGTTCGGCCCGGCATGGCGAGCCCACTTCTCTGTGGGCAGCCGTGCCATTTTGGACCAGGAGCTGCATGATGCCAACATTTCACTAATTCCCAAGCCCAATAAGCCGGCAAAGAGATGTTGCTAATTTGCGTCCAATCGGACTGCAGTGTCCTTCGGCAAAGGTTGTAGCGGGATTGCTTAGACAACAACTCATAAACGTTCTCGATCCCTGGATCCAACAGCTGCCTCAGTATGCCTACACCAAGCAGCGAGGAACCTTCGACGCGATCGTTCGCGTCCACATGCATTTTGATGAAGTGAGTCAGATCCTGAGAGAGAACCGCGTTGATCGATTTCAGAAGCATCAGGGTGTTAAGCAACTCCCCTGAGTCTTTCCCTTGATCTTTCTAAAGCTTTCGACCTCACTGACCGTCCCAAACTTTATCATAGCATGGCCGAATTTGGGGTCCCCTAGGATGTCATCACAGTTGTCCAGCAACTCTACACAGCTGCGAAGTATCACTTTAAAGTAGGCCCCCTTGAAGGATCTATCACCACCACCAACGGATTGAAGCAGGGACAGCAGGGATGTCTGATTGCTCCTTTTCTTTGGTGTTTTTTACATCCTTGCGCTCCTACGTGCTCTACGGGCCAAGCGTAGTGTAGAATGGGTTCTTCGCACCATCACGCTTTTTGCGGATGATACTTGGGGCAGTTGGACTCTTCGGAGCCCTGACGACTTCAGGGCAGCACTTGCTGACCTCACTGCTATTCTTGAGACGCTTGTTGAATTCCGAATGCAGATCAATTATGGAAAAACAGCCATTCTTCTTCGATTGGAAGGCAGGCCAAGGCTGTGCTGCATGCTCACAGCTGTCTTAAGAACGGTGTCCGACACTTGCAGGTAACTGTTCATGGAAAAACAGAGCTCATCCCCATAAAGGAAAAATGCACGAATACGTTGGTACACAGGTTTCTTATCACCATAGGCTTGACAAAAACGTAAAACATCGCGTACAGGCGGGACAAGCCAAACATCAACAGCTGCGGAAAACCTTGAACGGCACTCACGCCATGTCCGCACCACACCGGGTGCGACTTTGGGTCGCATGTGTTCAGACCAGCCTCCTGTATTCGCTCCCTGCTGTAGGAGTCACTCGGGATGGACTAGCAAGGCTGACTAAAGTGATGACGAGACATCTCCGCGCCGCCCCATCTTTAGACAGCCTGCACATATTACCCACTGCAGCAATGAGGCGATTTGGCAGCGGGCTGCTCTTGAACAGCCAGGCGACGCCATGTTGCGAGCCGTCACCAAGTTCACTGATAAGCTTAGGCTTAAGGAACGAGACTCCCCCGACAACACAACTGCCCCTGGTATCTTCGAATCTCTACGTAGCCTGCAGGCGTCACTCCAAGCTGCCATCGAAGCCCACAATCGGCACGAATCCCATAATCCACCCACAGCCTCGGATCAGTACCCTTGCCCCGAGTGTGCGGCTGCTTTTTCCTCCGACAATGCCCGACGTATTCATTGCAAGCTGAAGCACGGCTACCTGCCAGATCACGAAACCCGTCGCCCCGTGAAGTTCCAAGCTCATCTTCATGCTCAGGTCTCCCTCAATGTCAGTTATGCCAACGACGCTTCATCAGGTGGCAGCATCTTCGCACTCACGTCGAGGATGGCTCATGTGAGCTGCTCGGTGGCGAAAGCATGACCAAACATCCACCACGACAGCCTGACGCCCAGGTCGCAGCTTCCAAGGATCTCGTGGCTGCACACAGTCGAGCGAAGCTACGGGCACGTCGCAAAACTTACCGCTGCTGATGCGAGAGGAGTTTTTGTGTCGATTACATAATTGGGAAGCCCTACTTCGCATGCATGCCTCGCCTCCGCTCTGATCTCCAGGCACACTGTACCATTTGTCACATGTGGGTAGCTGACTTTAGGCATGTCCGACAGCACATCACACGCATCCACGAACCGGAGTACCCGGGCCTCCTACAGGCTGCGCTTAAGCACGTGCCACTTTCAAAGGACAGCTGACACGTGATCATGACTGTCCCTGGTGCAACAGAAGAGTTTGGAGCCCGGGTCGACATGTTGTGCAATGTGTTGTTCTCCTGCAAGTCA